CGCCAAGTGACGCGGTCCAACGTCACCTACTCTAGTAAGTCAACATCTCGTACAGACAGATGTATCCCTTTGGAGGAGTCCATGGGCGTTGAGTCTCATGCGGAATCAGGATACTGACCCCGGATCTCCCCAAACCGCAAACGTCGAGCATCTCGTTGATGCTGCTCACAGTACTAGAGGTCGGAATTCCACCGATCTGACCTTTGTGGTCGAGGGTAGGCTGGATATCATTCAAGAAAACGCCCGGTGCGGCAAAGCGATCCTCGCCCCTTGAGCGAACGGGATTAGAAGACTCTCCGGTTTCCATGGCGGTCGCGGCGTTATTCCTACCATCTCGGATCGGAATTTCAGTTAGCTCGGGAATGGAAGCCCGAACGGGGCGAGATGAGGAAGCCTCATTGCTAGGACGGCGCATTGAACGAGTGTTAGAACGAACTAGTGGTGCGACCTCACTATCAGACGAAGAGTGCGATGTCGACATTGTCGGAGTAGTACAGTATGACCGGAGAATTTAAAGTCGGCGGCGATAAGTTAAAAGAAAAAGAGGAGAGAGGGCAGAGCGAAATTTTACCTTTTGAGCAGAAAAGCGGAAATGAGGAAAATGAAAGGCATTGAGCAAGTATTTATAGAAGCGAGCGGGAGACAGACCTACGAAAAAATAATGATGACCTAGGCGACGCTTCGACTTCCGACCTATATGCCGCTCCACAGATGAGTGACGCGTGGCAACGTTTCCGAGATAGGCGACGATTCAGATATATTTGATTCGTTTCCCTCTTAGCTTAGGTCAGGCATAATTAGAAGTTCCATAATTCGAATGAACATTCGACCCATCGAACTGGGGGGGACTTATTGTTGGTGTTGGAATTAGCACCAACGAAATACCGGCCTAAACCAAGACGGAATCAAATTAAACCAATAAATCGGGGAATCCCGGTTTATTGTCCAATTATTGCAAAGGGTGCTTCATTCCTAAAATGGAATAGACGACCTCGGATCATTAGGGTTTCGCAAACCCTAATCGAATATTTTTGACAATATCTTCCGAAAATCTAAGAAAGAGGAGCATTTATTGTAACCCTAAATCCCTTGTATAAATAGAGAAGATGTCTCTATTCTAGGGCATCGATCATTTAATAACAAAAACCCTAGTTCCTCACTTGTTCTTGAGCAAACCCTAAATCGTTCATTTATAGGTCAAGTCAATCCTTTTAATCCGTTTCAATTCGAGTTCTTGAGAGATTGTTAAAAGTGAAATTATTCTACTTTCCTTAATAAATTCATTGTGTGAACCCTTGGTTCCCCTCTCTCTAGCGACAAGGGAAAAAAAAAACTGCTTTTTATCTTATCCCCTTATGAATGGCCGAGAGAGAATCTTTAAGAAATTTGACTTAACAATGTGAAAAATGTGGCCAAACTTAATATAAATAAGATATTTAATGAGAAAATTCAAGACACGGTTTAGCTACACCGACTGAAAATAAACCGGTTTTGATATTTATTCTCAGGAGCTTTTTTTTGCAGTCATCATCAAACTTGCTAAACAACGACAACAACTCCAAAAATCTGGGAAGGCAAGAATGAGCGGAGCATTGCTCAGAAACGTAGCTGCCGACACCGCCCGGCTCATATGGCGGAGTAACGCGGCAGCCGAGACATACCCATTTGCTAAAACCGGCCTTTCTCAATCGAGACCTTATTTCAGGTCGCGTCAGCTTCAAGGCAGAGCAAAAGAAACAGAAGTCTCACCTTCTTCTTCTTCTTCATCTGCATCGATTTCGAAAGTTTGGTTCGTTGGTTGGTACCTTGGTATGGTGAAATCACGACCAGTTTTGACTAAAAGTGTCACTTCTTCTCTTATTTACATTGCCGCTGACTTGTCTTCTCAGGTACTTTAGTGTTTGGTCTGTAAAAGGTGTTTCCTTTTTAAAATTTTTTTTGCCTTTTTGGGAAATTTGTAGTCTTTTAAATGGTTCTTCTCTTTGACATTTATGTATTTAGTTATGAGAGATCTACAAAGTTATAAAATGGCTCAGATGTTTTTGTCTTTTAGTTTAATATCAAGTAGAAGTAGAAGAGATGAGGAAGAAAACATATATTTTTGACTAGGAAGAGTAAAGTTTAAGTCTTTAATGGGAGTAATGTGTGTATGCAACACAATGTGATTGGAGTAATGTGAAATTCTTGATAATGGTGATTCGATTTTATTGTGCCTTTCCACTCTATAAGAACTGACTTCAAGAGATGACATTGGTTTATATTGTCTTAATTTTTCGATTAAACTTCTTTCGAGTCTTATGAATTGGTCATTCTTGAAATGGTGAATTAGCTATTCAATGTGAATTGAGCCGTTTCCACTGTTACATTGATTTTTAGCACTCTATTGAGTTTTACAGCTGACATTGGTTCTTTCTGTATCGATCTTTCGACAGACAATTGCGAAAAATTCTTCCGAGTCATATGACTTGGTGAGAACAGCAAGGATGGGTGGATATGGTCTAGTTGTTTTGGGTCCAACACTTCACTATTGGTTCAATTTCATGTCAAGACTCTTTCCTAAGAAAGATTTGATCACAACGTTTAAGAAAATTGCCATGGGACAAACAATCTACGGGCCAACCATGACTTTTATATTCTTCTCATTGAATGCATCTCTGCAAGGTAAGCTTCTTGTATATATATCTAAGACCCGGATTGTGTTAGGATAAGAAGAAACATACTAACTCGGTTTAAAATGCCAATACCATCCAACTCTCAATCTTATCTACATGAAAAAATTTGTGAAGTAGATGAGTTAACTTGTATTATAGTCTTTTCTCAACGTCTCAGCTCTAAATCTCAACAAAAATGTCCAGTTTTAGCATCTGCTCTTAGTTTACTCTTTAGTCCACATAGGTTTCAGAACAAGTTGCCTCGAATGGTGAATTCTGCATTTTTTCATTTGTTCAGGGGAAAGCGGTTCAGATATACTTGGCAGATTGAAAAGGGACTTGGTCCCTGTGTTGTGTAATGGTGTCATGTATTGGCCTTCATGTGATTTTATTACATTCAGATTCTTCCCTGTTCATTTACAGGTAATCCCCTCAGGTCCGAGATCAAAGCATGTTATATGGTCTCGTCCCGAGCGCTAAATCGTTTTTACTTTCCCCATTACCTTTCATGTTTCTTATCTCACTCTGCTCTTATCTTTTGTTTCCATGCAGCCTCTTGTAACCAACTCGTTTTCGTATGTATGGATAATCTACACGACATACATGGCAAACCGCAAAAAGCCTGACGAGATTTCGAACCGAAACACTCAAATATGTTCTACATGATCTTGAGCATTCTTCATGATTTTTCTGTTGTATCTGTAGAATTTAGGTTTGTACATGTAAGAGCTTGGAAGAACCTACATGATGTCTGATTTCACAAAGTAATGAGTTTTTGTTATGTTGAAATCTAACTTCCTGCGGTTTTACAAACTTTGATAGAAAAGATCTTACCAAAAAAAAACTTTGATAGAAAAGAGTTAGTCAGATAAAAGGTTTAAATATTTAAGCTTTACTTAATGTTTAATATATTATAAATATTTAAACTCTATAAAAAAAATTAAATTATTATTAATATTTTAACTCTAAAATAGTATCAAATATTAGGGGGAATTTCAAAAATACCATTTTCATATACCTCTTTTTAAAAATACCCCCTTTTCAAACTTTATCAAAAACCCACTAAAAATGTTGAAATTTATCCAAATATGTGTGTAAGGTTATAAATATATACACAAATTACCTTTATATGTGTATAAAACTTTATATACCTTTCATAAATAGCGTAAAAATAAATTATAAAAACCTTATTAAAACCTTATAAAAACCGTATAAACCCTTTTTAAAAACCTTTTAAAAACCTTATAAAACTTATAAAAACGATTTAAAACTATTTAAAGTTTTAAAATATTTGTATCGAATCTCCCAGTAGTAGTTATTATATAGAACTACCTTATAAACTATTAAAACTTTATAATTTTTTATATTTAAAAAGGGGTATTTTTGAAAATGGATAGATAAAGGGGTTTTTTTTAAAAAGGGGTACACCAAAAAGGGTATTTCTCAAAAATTCTCAAAAATTATTATAATTTATATAAATATAATAGAGCCGGTTTGAGTTTACATAAATATGATTATATTTTTCTTACGGGTTGTCTATATACAAAATTTTTTTTTTTTTGGACAAACATATACAAAATATTTTAGTCTGAAATATAATGAGTTAAATAAAGAGAAAGATGTTATGCCATCATAATTTTATTATTTTTGAGTATTAGATATATTTAATTAAGTTGATTATATTATGATTATATAAAAAAAACTTGTCATGTATTACTCCACGTGTTAAATTATAAAATTAACAATCAAAATACAATTGAACATACTAAATAAAATTAATAAACAAATACAACTTAAAATTAAAAAAAAAGAAATAGTTACAAAAAATAGTCTTCCGGTGTACCGCGAGTTAAGTCTTATAATTAACAATCAAAATACATTTATACAATCTTAAAAACTAAATAAAACAAACAAAATTAGCAAATATAACTTAAAATATAAACTATTTAGTTTAAAAAAATCGTCCAGATACTATTCATAATATTAAATCTATTACGAGACATGCAAGTTGGGGTGAGTTTGACAAGCTTGACAGTTTAGGTCATCCGATTAAGTATTTTTCAATTTGTACATGCAATTTTTGTTGGGCGGTTGATAGTTTATGCATTCAATTTTTATTCAACTTTAAAATACTATCAAATAGTTAATACAAATATATGAGTCTGTGCTATAGCACAGATAAATAACTAGTAATTACTAATTTACACTATTAAATAATACAATATATATTAATTAATATTACTAAAAATTAATAAAAGGGAGAATTAAAAAAAAACTCCAAACTTTATCAAAATAACCACTAAAATGTTGTTATCTATCCAAATATGTATAATATTATAAATATACACACAAATTACCTTTGTATGTGTATAAAATTTTATATAACTTTCATAAATACCATATAAATAACTTATAAAAACCTTTTAAAAACTTTTGAAAAACCTTATAAACCCTTTTAAAAACCTTATAAAACTTGTAAAAACGTTTCAAAACCTTTTAAAATATTATAAAATATTTATATCGAATCTTCCAATAGTAATTATTATATAAAAGTACCTTATAATTCATATAAAATTTTATAATTTTTCATATTTAAATATGGCTATTTTTAAAAATGAATAGATAAAAAGAATATTTCTCAAAAAAATTCTCTTAATAAAATATCGTGATCTTAACATTATTAATTTACAAATGTTTTAACTGTGGTTGTTTATGATGTGAAAGCTAGTTGTCAATTTCTGTTAAACCACAAAATTACATCTTGTTAATTAATTTATCATGTTAGCTTAGTCAGTTGACGTAACAATGTGAAAACATGACAAAATTAATAAAAGTTTAGATATTTTATTAAAAATTCATGAAAATTCAAGATACGGTTTAGCTAAACCGACTGAAAATAAACAGCTTTTGATTTATTTTTCCTCAACTAAGTTTGATACAATTCTCATGAAGAAACTAGAAAAATCCATCAAAACATTTTGCAGTCATCATCAAACTTCCTAAACAACAACAACGACACCTAAAATCTCGGAAGCAAGAATGAGCCGAGCATTATTCAGAAACGTAGCCGTCGACACCGTCCGGCTCATACGACGGAACAAGGCGGCGGAGACATACCCATTTGCTAAAACCGGCCTTTCTCAATCGAGACCTTATTTCAGGTCGCGTCAGCTTCTGGGAAGAGCAAAAGAAACAGGGGCTTCACCTTCTCCTTCTTTAGGGTTTTGTTCATCTTCTTCATCATCTGCGTCGATTTCGAAAGTTGGGTTCATTGGTTGGTACCTTGGTATGGTGAAATCACGCCCAGTTTTGACTAAAAGTCTCACTTCCTCTCTTATTTACATTGCCGCTGACTTGTCTTCTCAGGTACTTTGGTGTTTGCTTTGTAAAAGGTGTTTCCTTTTTAGAGTATGGTATCTAAAAATGATGCCTTTTTGTGAAATTTGTAGTCTTTAAATGGTTCTTCTCTTTGAATGTGTTAGTTATGAGATCCACAAATAGAAAATGGCTCAACTTTGTGGGAGATGTTTCTTGGTCTTTGATGATTCTGTTATGAAGTAGAAGTAGGAAGAGTAAAGTTGAAGTCTTTAGTGGAGTAATGGGACATTCTTGTAGTCTTTAAATGGTTCTTCTCTTTGACATTTATGTGTTAGTTATGAGATCCACAAATATAAAATGGCTCAGCTTTGTGGGAGATGTTTCTTGGTCTTTGATTCTGTTATGAAGTAGAAGTAGGAAGAGTAAAGTTTAAGTCTTTAGTGGAGTAATGGGACATTCTTGAAAATGGTGATTCGATTTTATTGTGCGGTTGTGCCTTTCCACTCTATAAGAACTGACTTGAAGAGCTGACATTGGTTTATATTGTCTTAATATTTTCGATTAGACGATTGTTAAAAACTTCTTTCGAGTCTTATGAATTGGTCATTCTTGAAATGGTGATTTAGATATTTAATGTGAATTGAGCAGTTTCCATTGTTACATTTCTTTATAGTATGGTAGCTAAAAATGATACCTTTTTGTGAAATTTGTACTCTTTAATTGGTTTTTCTCTTTGACATTTATGCCATATATTTACAAATACAAAAAAGGCTTAATTTGTCGGGAGTTGTTACTAGGTCTTAATCCGAGTATCAAGTATCAGTAGAGTAAAGTTTGATTCTTTATTGGAAGTAATGCGTGTGTCTGGAACAAAAAGGGATTGGAGAGTAATGAGACTTCTTGAAATGTTGATTTAATTAGCTTCTTAATGTGAATTTGAGGTGTTTCAGCTCTACTGTTACATTTCCTTGTAGTGTGTCCTGTTTTTTGAGCCTTCTAGGCTTGTGAGAATTGACTTTTAAGAGCTGACAATTTCGACTGATGATATTTGAACAGACTATTGCGAAATCTTCTTCTGAGTCTTATGACTTGGTGAGAACAGCAAGGATGGGTGGATATGGTCTATTTGTCTTGGGTCCAACACTTCACTATTGGTTCAATTTCATGTCAAGACTCTTTCCTAAGAAAGATTTGATTACAACGTTTAAGAAAATGGCCATGGGACAGACAATCTACGGGCCAACCATGACCGTTATTTTCTTCTCATTGAATGCATCTTTGCAAGGTAAGCTTCATGTATATATCTGAAACCAGAATAGTGTTAGGATAGGAAGAAACATACCTACCTATTTTCAGTTGCTGCTGCTCTTCTATTGCCTTATATCATATATATATATATATGTATATTATAAAATTGCTATACCACCTAACTCTGATTCTTATGTACATGAAAATTTTGTGAACTACAGTAGATCAGTTTACTGAAATTACAGTCATTTTTGCTTGTGGCTAGTATATATCGTGGTGAGAATGATAAATGGAGATTGGTTGGTTATTTACATAAGCAGAAACTTGTAGTCTTGAATAAACGAATCTATGAGATTGTAGCTTCTGTTCTTAGTTTACTCTTAGTCACATAGGTTTCAGAACAAGTTGTCTCTCTACTTCTTGAACTGAGAATTCTCAGGTTCATTTCTTATGGTTCGGTTTGTTTAATCTTGGGCGCGTCTTACAAATACAAAAAACGATCATTGATTTCAGTGATGGAGTTTTACTTTATCTTTATCTGAGTGGTTTGGTTACACTAAACCTTGTTTAAACTTTAAAGTTATTCTGCATTTTGTTATTTTCAGGGGAAAGCGGTTCAGATATACTTGCCAGATTGAAAAGGGACTTGGTCCCTGCACTGTTTAACGGTGTCATGTATTGGCCTGTATGTGATTTTATTACATTCAGATTCTTCCCCGTTCATTTGCAGGTAATCCTTTCGACACACAAATCGTTTTTACTTTCCCCATTACCTTTCCTGTTTCTTGCTGGTTATCTGAGAATGCACTCACTCTTCTCTTATCTTTTGTTTCCATGCAGCCTCTTGTAAGCAACTCTTTTTCGTATGTTTGGACAATCTACATGACATACATGGCAAACCGCAAAAAGCCTGACGCGATTTCAAGCTAAAACACTCAAATATTTTCTACATTATCTAGGCTCTCGGGCATAACCTCCTTATTGTGTGCTAAGTTTTCGCCGTGTCAAACTGCAATTAGCATTCTTCAAGATTTTTTCTGTTATGTCTGTAGAATTTAGGTTAGTAATTGTATGAGCTTGGAAGAACCTACATGTATGATATCACAAACTAATGAGTTTTTGTAACTTCCTGCTGGTTTTAAAACTTTAAAAAGAAAAGAGTCATAAGAGAAAGGAGTCATGTTACTGCTAAACTTTTCTTTTACTTTCATGGCAAATGTGTTAAATGTACCAAATATGTCAATCAAATATGATACTCGCTTTTGTTGTGTCTGTCCGAGTCCGAACTACGAACATGAAAGAGTTATATGTGTCTGAGTAAAACAATCAAAGCAAAGAGTGGAAGGAAAGAGTAGAAAGTTTTTGGATATGAACGTTTGACGAGAATTGCTATTCATGATTTGAGAGCGCTGAAGAAAAAACAGAGTTTGCAACTTATTGATTGTGCATAGCCCTGCGCATTCGCGTACCCGGGTCGGGTTTGGATAGGAACCGTTAGAGTTCGGGTTTCTTGGGTAGAGGAGTTTAGGACTCAATAAGGTAAATCTAAAAATTCGGTTCGGGTTCTTTCGGGTTTGGGTCGGGTCGGGCATAGATTCTTATAACCGCTAAAAATTCCGATATTTTCGGGTACACAAATACCCAAAATTTTACCTGTTTACCTGAAAATTTTCGGGTAAAAATCCGGATTTTCGGATAAATACCCAAATTTCGGGTAAATACCCGGATTTTTGGGTAAAAGTTTGAAATTTTGGGTATAATTTGGGTATCTCGAGTAAATAATTGGATATTCAGGTTCTAAATAATTTATAAGTATTTATGTTTTGGGTTTTTTTTGGATCCGGGTTCGGGTCGTGTTCGGTTTCAGGTTTTTGGGTTTAGAAGTTTGGGATCTAATAGAGTAAATCTAAAATTTTGGTGTTCGGATTCGGGTTGATTTTTTGGGTCGGTTTCGGTTTGGGTTTTCGGTTCCTGTTTTTCTGACCAGGTTTGTGCCTTTTAGATTGAATCGATTTCAAGATGTACTGTTTTGAATGGTCGAAGAAGATAATGACTGGAAAAAATGTGACTTGATTTCTGAGAGTTAGCTGTTAATAAAGAAAACTATCAAAAATCTAATTACAAAGAAAACTAGGAACTAGACGAGATCAAAGATTTAAACTTAGAAATTTCTAACGTGGTCATGATCACAAATATCAGTCATAAAACAAAGAAAATTCTATATATAAAAGGTCTCACTCCCCTTGGTGGTCCATTTAGCAATGCAACTTATGCAAAATATATTTTGTATTCAAACCACAAATAAAACATATACATTTAACTCACTCTATAATATAAAAATAAATTATTTTAAATTATACTAGACTACCGCGGAACGATATTTTAAAATATATTTTTTTATTAATTTTCTGATATATAAGATTGTACAACTTTATTTTGATTTTGATTTTTTTGGTGAGAAAAGGGAGACAAGGTCTCTCAAAAATAACTAAAATAAACAACAAAAATTACAAACGAACTAGTCTCGGCCGCGGAACTCCCTGAACGTCTTCATCCTGAATTGGAACCAACGACTCCGGGGTAGAATGAAATATGTGGAAACCCAGAGGTAACGAGAATGCATAGGTTGCTAATCCATCGGACATATGATTAGCTTCCCTATACACATGGGAAATACGGACCAGCCAGTCCTTCGATAGAAAGCCATAGCACATACGTACTAGGAAAGACAAAGGATGAGCTTCACTTATCCTTGTCTTCAAAAAACCAACCACTATTTCGGAATCAATCTCCAACTCCAAACGTGTAACCCGCTGCTCCCAAGCAATATATAACCCATAGTACACACCCCATAACTCGGCCAATGGCGCTGAACAAATCCCAATATTTAAAGCAAAGCCACCACACCAGTTACCGTTATCATCCTGCATAACACCTCCAACACTTGCTAACCCAGGATTACCCCGAGATGCTCCATCGGTATTTAGTTTTACCCATCCATCCCTCAGGTAGTTCCACTTAATCAAACGCTCCTCCTTCGGTATGTTACTCTTTCTTGCTGCCATAGCCGTGTGTACCACATGAATTTCCCGTGCAAAGTTCTTAAAAAAAAGTACCAGATCCCGACACTTGTTATTCGAACCAAAATTATTCCCGCCACGCCATTTCCACCCCCACCAAACAATAATTGCAAACAACGTCGACCATGGGGTACCATTTATCTCCACATCGGAACCCAAGTTCTCGTAGATCCATTCCAACAAAGATTTTTCAAAAAACGTACGGGTCTGCTGCGGGGGAAGAACCCTCTCCCACATTCCTGCAATAGCTGAGAAATCTCTTAGAACATGTAGAATTGTTTCATAACCTTGTTTACAGACTTGACAAACTCCGCTATCTCCTAGGTGTCGCCGGTGCCGCTCCACATTGGTCATAAGCACCTGATGAGCCAAAAGCTAGAGAAAAACTTTCACGCGCTCTGGAGCAACAACCCTCCAAATCCTATCAAAGAACCGATCCATACATGGTTTTGGTTCCATATCCCAAATTAAGAAAGCGTAGGCAGAGCGTACCGTGAAACTTCCATCCGGACATTCTCCCCAAGATAAAACGATCCTTTGGACCCGTGATGGTATCCACCACAACCGCTCCCAGTTGTAGCCGAATATTCTCCGAGACATATGGTAGTATTTGCGAGAAATAACAACTTTATTTTGATTGTTATTTCTGATTTAACCCTTAGAATATTGCATAACAATTTATTTTTATATAATAGTAATTTGATCAACTTAATTAAATAAGTCTAATATTCAATAATGAAATAATGTTGGCATAACATATTTCGTTTAAATAGTCTAGTTTTATAATTATGTACATTATAACTCGTTCCATCTCATGACTCGTGCTACACAATTTTCAATAATACTTAAGTACATAAAAAAAAATGTATCGATTGAGTAATATACGTCTGTTTTCAAAAATTCAAATTGTAATATATGCGGGAAAAAATTAGATTCTTATTATAAATATGTTTAATGTAATAATATAAATTCTAAAGCAAATAAGATCATAAAAATAAAAATATTGGAGAAATATTTGATTTATTAGGGAGAGATTTTAGGAAATTTTGTTGAATGTAATAAATACTGAATTTAGTTTTGCAATTTTATTATAATCTAATTACAAAATTTACCTTAAGGTTTTGTTATTCATTCAAATGGCAATGGTTTATGATTGTAAAAATGTTAATATAGGTACTTCAAAAATGTTAATATAGATATACATTAACTATATTCCTCCACTCCATTTTATTGACAATAAATTAAAGTTATAATTCACATAATTTAACTATTTTCTTAATAACTCTTTACATCACTTCTCTTCGTATATATATTGATTCTGTCATTCTGTCATATTCTCATTCTTTCATTATCTGGTTCTCTTATTCTCTCATTCTCTCACTCTCATTATATATATCAAATATTTTCTTATTTTGTATTTTTGTTGTTGTTTTGTTGTATGGGTTAAGAAAACAATTGAAATATCATTGTAAAAGTTAATTGTAAATTTTAGTTATAGATATATGATATATATTACTTTTTATAATTTAAAAATTTATCTCCATTATTTGTTTTAGTTTATCATCTTACAAATAATTGTTCTCTTATCCTCCTCTTCTACTATATTAATGTATCTTAAATATTTTTCTATTTTCTATGTTATTATATGTGTTGTAAATCAAATTAAAACAACTATACGATCTTGTACCAATTCGGCATATCCAACTAATTCATTAGTAAGAATATTAAGCTCATTTACTGCAATGTTATGCTGTTGAATAAAGATTTGCCTCAAAGTCTAGATAGTATGTGCAATTTTTTTTTTTTGAGATGAAAGAACAATATGACTCATATCTTAAATAAAATGGCTAACCACGCGACAAGTATGGACAATACTAAAAAGAACATTAAAACCCCGCATTAATGATATAAGATTCATCATTCATTTCAACAACAATGGCATGATTTTTTTTTTGTACTGGATTTTCACTCTACCAATAACTGCCATCTCGGCATCAACTTTACGATGAAAAGCTATGTTGTTTATAATGATATTGTTGTTGAACTATGTTGTTTATAATGATATTGGCTTCTCTCTCGCCATTGTCGTCATGAGTTTCCCATTAGTTGTTTTGTATATCTTCCTATATTTGGAGTGTAACCAAACCATATATATAGGGAGAGAGCCCACTTGCTCAAACACTCAAATCTCCTGAAAAACTAAAATCGAGAAAATGTAGTCAACAGACGCATGGGTTAATATATGAATATTTGGTAAATCATCTGTACATAGTTTACTGCCCAGAAAAATGTACATAGTTTGCTGCCCAGAAAAAAAGTACATGGTTTATTGTTGACCATCGCCTTTTTTAGATTTTGAAAAAACTTGAATCTTTTATGTAATTTTTTTTATTTTCTGCCCAATCAAAAATATTTCCGAAACTAGTTTCCCAAAATAAAATAAAAATAGATCTTATTTTCTGCTCCACGTGCTCTGATGGCAACCCACTTTTACCGGTGTTTGATACAGTTTGAAGAGAACAACAACTCTTAGGAGTCAAGACCAAACAACAACTCTTAAAATAATTTCAATGACGATTTTACTACAGATAATTCTCTCCGACTTTAATAGATTCACCACAAATTACCTTTCTTCTTCAGATGGCTATAATTGTGCATCGTTGAGATCTCATGTAAACTTATTTAGAATGTCACAATTATTTCAATGTATATACTATGTACCCGCAATTCCTATATAGTTTTCGATAATTTCAACTTCAATGATCAGCTTTATCGAAGATTGTAACAATGTTTAAGGATTACAAGAGACGATATTGGTATATTCGTTTATGAGCCAAGAAAAAGATTGCTTCTTGTGTTGGTTTGAAGTGTTTGGTTTGGTGATATTGTGATTTCAAAATTATATAAAAGATTTCAGATCGACATCTAAATATTTAGAACCATATAATTCAGTTAAATATTTGAACTATGTCAATCCAAGTAAAGACCTATCTTTGTAAACCACACAAAGTGTTCAGAAACGCAGAGTCTAACTCTGATTTGAAC